GGCGACAGGCGACAGCTGCTGCTGCCCGTGGGCTGCGCCTGGTTGGCCTGGCTGCGCCGTCCACGCGCGCGCGCTCCCCCCGCCCCCTGCCTTCTCCTTCCCCGCCACCATAATGTGGTCATCATTTCGCGTAGAGTCACGACACGGCCCTCTCCCCGCCTCGTTCTCTCGTGCCGTCTGGCCTGGCCCTCGGCCTGCCTCAGCCACTGTAAACGTGAGTCATCTTTCACGCTCAAATTCAGCAGTGACATGTTTTTACATCGCCCAAATAGAGCGACACGATTTCTGCATCACTCGATAAGCATTCCTGCATCCATTTCACGAAAGCATCTCTGAATCAGAGTCATCTCGGCCAAAACCACTCGTAAAGAGTCATATACGAGTCATACGAAAACCCATTGAATGACCCTGAAGGATTAAGGTCATTTGCGCCATCCCCTCCCAGGTCCGATATAATTGGGTGCCTGATATCGCCCTCCCAGGAGCGGGATATACATCACTCCTCCATTAATGGACTTCCCGTGGGGATCCAATTCTCTTCGATCGACTAGAAGCCGACTTGGTAATCAAGTATACACCCATACACCATTAATGGTTCCATTGAATTAACGGAGAATCCCCTAGATCAATGGAATTTTAACCAATGGAAAATTATAGAATTTTTCCGCAATTTTTAGCAATTTTCCATTAGCCTGTGGGATTTTTTTCCGATGAATCAATAAAATTCCACAGAGTCAAGAGAAAAATTCTATCATATTATTTTCATTGAGTAAACGGAACCGTTTTCTGGTTGTACACAGACTTTACCATTACTAGGAGTACTCAAACTCGTGAGGGCCTTTTAACTCGTGAAGTCCCACATAGCCACACGTAAGCTTGTTTGCGACCCCCTGAGACTCAAGGTGTGAAAGAACGAATTTGTGCATTTTTGTGCACATTTTGACCAAATGAAAACGTGCATGTAGAAAATGCCGAAGTTGCATCTCTTTCATAGGGACAAAAAGGACAAAAATATAATTTGTGCCATCATAAAATGCAAATTTGTAACTCGAACGATTAGGAAATCAGAACTAAGATGTGCACAAAAATGCATCTTTCTCGGACAAAATTTATATTTGGAGTTCAGATCAATCCTACCTAGTAATTATTCGCAATCCTTGGTAATGGTGATTCCAGGGAACCATTGGTAATCTTTCCTATTTGATAATCTGTAATGCACATTTTTCTCGAGTTGTGCACCTCTCGGCAGAAGCTATTTATTCTATGGGGCCGCCCCCACTTGAAAATCCTCGTTCGGGGTGCTCAGATCAGGGTTCGCGCGGGGGCGTCCCGGCCGTCCCGCCACCACCACCGCGACCCGCCTCACCCCGTCCTCGGCCCGCGCCACGCCTCCATTTTGAAAGGCGGGTGGGTGGCTCCACTGCCTCTGCGGCCGCGGCGAGGCGATTGGCGGTCCGCGGGCCCCAGCATCG